AGCCTCTCCGTGGGAAGCATCTGATAGTCCTTCAGGGATTGGAAAATTTCTTGTCTGTCACGGAGCAAACACCAACGCTGAGCGCCGCTCAACGCCGCGGTTCAGAAAACCATCTATCTCAATCATAAATGTTTTGGCTTCCAAATGATCAGCTGCTGGATGAGCAGCACCGTAACGCTGCTTGGCTTTGAACCTCAGCGAGGCGGGTTTACACGGACACGTTACAAGCACCACTTTCAGCGGCGTCGCCCGATGCTCTGGCCGCTCTTCCCCGGCTGCCAGCTCTGCGCTGGCTCCTCTCCGTGAGGGCAGCCGGCCCTTCCCGGCCTCTCCTGCTGTTCAAAGTGCTAAGCACGTGCCCGCAGGTGCTGATATTTTTAGGCCTTTGCCCCGGATAGACACCTCAACAGCACCTACACGTCACCTTGCGCGGTGCTGCTAACTAAACCCCGCTTAATGACAAAGCCTCCCTTGCCATTCATTGACGTTCTCTCCACAGGGTTACGTGTCCTCTTAATCAAGACCAGAAACCAGTGTAAAGCCTGCTTTAAGCCCGATCAATGCCCTGCTTTAAGCCCRATCAATGCCTGCTTTAAGGCGGAGCAAGGCCTGCTTTTTTCCGCCTCGCTTGCAAGCAGCCTCCCAGGGATGGAGGATGCGCGGCCAGGCCGGGGCCGCCCGCGCTGCGTCAGGGACAGGCCTGACGTGAGCCGAGCGGGGCGGCGTGGGCGGGAGGCCGGGGCAGGCCTCCCACGTGGAACAAGAGCCGGGCAGCACGTGCAAACGCTCAAGACGTGGCGTGTGTTGCAGACATGGGGCCTGTCTGAGGGCATGGACAAAGCTCAGCTGGAGGCCTCGCTGCCTTGGGAAGGCTTGGGAATTTGCGGGGAAAATGGCAGTTCTCCTAGGATCAAAAGTACCTAGGCTGCTTTCTTGGGGGCGTGAATCAGCTCCTGTTGCGGCTCTGCTGCTTCCACAAGACCAGGAGCCCCCACGTGCCTCTCAGCAGCCCCCCRGCTGCGCTTTGCAGATCATGCAGCCCCTTCTGGACACCAACACCTGCCAGAGGGTGTCTGGCTGGGCAGGGTGCTCAGAAGCCTGGCTCAGGGCCCTCCCACCAGGACCATTACAGCAGGTTTCAAACACTCTYGGAGCCTCCAGCAGCTTCTGCTGGGGAGCTCCGGCTGCCTTAAYCACAGGAGCAAATACAGCTCAGGTGAAGCCGAAGCGCTGGGGCGGACTCTAGGGTCTGAGGCCAGGGGCAGGGCTCCGTGCCTGGTGCAGAGGTGTGTGAGACACTGCACCCGGGAGCAGAGCAGGGCCCGTGGTGCCGCTGTTGCTCGCAGGGCTCGTCCCCTTCCTGGGCTCCCTGCCCTTTCGGCTGTTCACGGGGATTAATGCCCAACTGCTCCCTGCAATGAGCGGCACAGTCAGACTCCCATCTGGCTCGGTCAGGCAGACGTAGCTCTTTCCCTTCAGTCACGGACATGCCATCCTTGCAATTTCTTGACCTGTTTGAACACACGCTCGGTTCGCCGTCCCCCTGCCCTTCCCGCTGCACCAGAGSAGATGTTTACCCCGGGCTGCAGAGCCCGCGGTGCAGCCTCGCCAGCCGCTCACGGTCCGACCGCGCAAATCCCGGTCCCAGCGAAGCGCCGATGCTGCGCGCACCGCCGGGGCCGCAGCCTCCACATCTCTCGGCGCGTGACGGGGCGGACGAGCCAAAGACCAGCGTTTCCTGGCAGGAAAACCCCTTCCCTCYGACGTCCTCGCGCCCTGGGCCCCGTCGACGACGGCGCCAGCCGTTCCTGCTGCAGRAACGTTTTTCTTTTTCCTCCCTCACTTGGAAGTCGGCTGTAGGCTGCTCCCTGCCCCGKGGCTTCCAGTCTGGGAAGAAGGACTGCAACAGGTCAAACAGTGGCACCCCTGAAGGAAAGAAAGGGAGAACAATTTTTTTGTTGTTGTTACAGCACCGTCCCATTCCCTCCATACGCGCTCATGTCCTGGTCTTACGAATGCATTTGTTCAGCATTCAATCCAYGGGGAAGCTATAGAAAGACATAGATTGATGTCTATGTATATTTAGATGATTTCGTGTCTGATATAAATGCATACCCTGAATTGGGTTTTGATATATTTATGTAAGCACGCACACTGGTTTTATTAWAAGTCAAGAGGAAAATTCTAATGGTTTTAATTGAAGCTAGGACTCCCCTCTGACATGAAAAAAGCAGCTCACCAACCTTATTTTAGCTGTCAGATAAAATCACGAGCCTGGAAGGGAGACACCAACATCCTCTACAGGCGGGATCCTGGCAGAGGACCTTGGCTTTTCTGCTGCAGAAAGGATGTGGATTCTGTTTTAGACTGTGCAAGAAAACCTTAAATTGCCCCCTTCATCCGTTCAGATGGTAGGGAATACTCTACCAATTAAAACTCCTTCAGTGATAAATTTCCCTGCGTGAGTCACAGGAGATGGTAATGACTGCTCAGTGAAACGGCGGAATTTCTGAGCTACAAACAGCCTTCAGTTTTTCTTGAGAGACAGACAGTCCCTCAAATTGACAGGACTCGAGAAAATAGATAGCCTTTTGTGTGCGCTGCTGGTGGCAGTTTCCCATCAGACAGGAAGAGCCTTCCTCGAATGAATGTGGCTACACATGAGAAGAGGAGCTGCTGTGCATAGCCTAACTGCTCTCGCACGTAAGGCTCTTAAACCAGGAGGCTACACTGGGGCAGCCTTCATTAGCGCACTGAATTCTGCAGTGCAGCATTTGAGGAAAGGATGGTGCATATTAAAATAAATCCAAGCACTGTAGTTTATTTATTTCCAGTTCCACTCACCTTGCCGTTGTGCAGGAAGGTCAAACACGTTTAGCAGCATCTTCTTGGTCTGCAGTTAGTCTCCCTTCCACACTGGGGCCTTCATGAGGAACGCTTGGAGATAGATTTTCCATTTACAATTACTTTGGTAATTTCAGCAGTTAATCACTTTTCCATTTTGTATTTACATTGCTTTTCTACAGTGGTAATTAAAAAAAAAAAGAAGTGTTAGATAGCACTAGGATGATGGCCAACTAATATCATGTTAGCACCTTTATCAGACTTTGGATCTCTTGGAAGATTTAACATATTTCATATCATTTCCTTTCCATAAAAAATATTAATAGGAATGAACTGTATTATCTACCCCTTTGATGGCAGTGTTGCATTTCTGCCTGTCATTTTTCCTGGGACTGGTATTGGATTAATCAGCCTGTGGGTATCATCTGGCTCTTCTCACTGATCGCTTTTAGATGTTAGTTGGAAACCTCTCTACCATACCAGATTAGTTAGGACTGAGGTGCACTGATGTGGGGAGCACCTTGGCCAGTTGTTTCTAGATACCTGGGTATGATTTATTTAGCCYTAGATTTTAAAATTATGGGAGGGATCAGGAGTGTTTTAAATCTGACAGTTCTGCTTTTAACCTCACTGCACAGCTATGTGTAGTTTGTACACAGTGCCTATGAATAGCTTAATATTAATTTATAGCAAAGATGCTAACAACCCTTTTTATTTTTTGCTAACATTTTTATTTGAGAGATTAGAAAAAAAAAACCAAACAACAAAACTCTCAACATAAAAGGAAGCAGAAGAGCTACTGATGAGAAATGGTCTGGGTTTGCCCCTCGGCAATGGCAGAGCCTGCACACAAGGCAGCTGCAGGCAGAGGTGCAGATGCAGCAGAGTTACTCAGAGACCGAATGTGATACAAGAAACAACAAGCCCAAGAATCAGAAATAATGGCTGGAAACCCCTAGCAAGTCCCCACCGGAGTCTTGCTTCCAAAGAGACACATATGCCAAAGCTTTGGCCTCATCCCGCATGATGGATGGGAACTGCACCTCAGTTACTCACTTAGCAAATGCTGTGTAGGAACCTGGCTGAGTTACGTACGTTGTCACCAAGCCTGTGTCCGAGTGCGGGACATTTTGGCTTCAGTGGCCAGGGATGTTGCTCTGAAGTGCTGGGATCAGAGGATTCCCTTTTAGGGTGGGCGGTGCCATGGGAAAAAGAAAGAGGACCACAACTCAGTTTGTAAGTACTAAGAAAGGGCTGATTTAAAAAAGTCCAAAAGATTTCTGTCCTTTTAAGTATTTCACAGCCATAGGAACAGTAATATTATATATATGTATATATATATATATATATAGCATGTACATAACATGACATGTAGTCTCTGCAGGTAAAATGTTAACCAATTTAGCATGAAAATCTGGTAACAAACAACTTTTTGTCACATAAATTCATGCTTCAAGGAAGGCTGAGTTTGTGGGATCCTTCTTTGAAAGACGGTTTCAGTCAATGTTTGGTATAGAAAGTATGAAAGCAGTGATGACAATTCGTTCTCTGAATCACCATTCATTGCTGTGTTAGACTTCAGAAACTGAAAGAGGTCCTCTTTAKAAAAGGTGAGAATTTCCAGAAAATGAATTAACCACCTACGTGTTAAATGATTAGAAATAAGCTTTCAGTGTCAGAAAGTCTTACTTGGCTACAACACTTTAAAGCAATAACAACAATAAAAGGCAAAGAAACTGAAGAAACTAATCATCTCCTGCAACACTTGTAAATGCAAAAGTATTCACATTAAAAGCAAGGTAACTCTTAACGAATGAATTGCTCTTTAGAACAGAGAAATGGGAGACAATATAMGCTTTCACCCATCGTCATTAAAGTTCAACTCCAGCTGTTGAAAAACATAATTGCTTCATAATTTGGAAAATGATGTCCCATAGGTACCTGGTTTGTGTACTMTGATTAAGTACGATGCCCAAAATGGCAGGATACCCCTGCGGGTAAGGATTTCATCTCTTCTCCACCAYTGCCTCCACAATTTAAACAAAAGAACAACTATCCAAATGTAAAATGCTCTTTTCTTTTTTAATTACTAAATTAAGAAAGTTAAACAGTTTTAAAATGTAAACTTGCAAAGAAACCATAACAAAATGTAATTAAGACTTTAAAATTTGCAACTCAGTATTAAAAACTCAATAGAAATAGAAAGGAAAATTTTTTTTTGGTTAAACGTAAGTAATTCAAGGCTGGTACAGACAACTGAAAAGGTAATACTTTGTTCTGTGCATCCCCCATGAAATGTAAAGAAGTGCATAGTAATTCCACTGGAGAACTTGCAGACACAGAGAAAGTAATTTCATTAGCAGTACAGGACATTTAACACACTTATTTTACAATGGAAAATGTTACACATAAAACAGAAAAATCCTAGTTGCATGATCAACAGTTTAGCAGGTGGACATGGCTAAAATGCTATGATTTTAAGACCATTTGAATGTGGTTACACTGTTTAATAAATCTTTTTGAAACATTTCAGTATACATGTTTGGATACAAGAAGTCCTTGTGGTTTCAATTTTCCAGTTCTAACGGTGATGGTGTAGTTTTCTTGTTTTAAATATGTTCATTTTAATTTCAAGAACAAATCATCACACACTTGTCAAACATTGGAAACATTACTGTAAATACAGCACATGATTCCTGAAAGAGCAAAGTTACAACCATCTACAGGTACATAGTCATAAACAAAAAGTGCAATCCAATTTAAAAAAATCATGCTTGGCAAAAGCCAAAAATTAGATCACTGGCTTCCAGAATCCTACCAGTGTTTTCATGTCTGCAGTAAAATTATCACTTTCTGGGTACTGCTGCAGCAGGATTCATTCCATTCAGAATGAATTTCCTCTGCAATAGCACCCATATACTGTATGTACAGGTATGTATATATATTATATATATTTTATATATAAAAAAGCAAAAAAACCAAACACCTGTCCTGATTTCTTTTTTTTTTTWTTATTATTTGTTAAAACATGAAAAAAAATGTTTTAGACAAAGAGGCCACTTCTGGAAAATAATACTTTTAGTTGAATCAGGAGAAGACTAGTTAAAATCACATAGGTTCCGCGTTTTAAAAAAAGGAAAGCACTAGGATCCGTTATTGGCACTGAGTTACTATTTACAATGAACAGAGGTTTTGCAGTTTACGTAACATCGATACAATGCGGTTCGAGGAGTCTCTGATTAAGAAAAGACAAGTGTTTCTCTCCCTTTTGTCGAGGACATTCAGGTTATGAGGACGAGTGGTCGCAGGCGAGGGCCGGGGCTGGCGGGCCCCGCGCGCCGGCCGCGGCGCTGGGAGCTGCTGCGCTCTGYGGAGCCCCACACCGGGGCCCGGACCCACGGAGGAGCCCCTGGGGGATCCCGACGGCCACCGCGTGCCGAGAGCGGCGCCCTACAGGTTGTCGCCGGGCTGGTACTGGGGCTCTGTGGCGGTGAAGTAGTCTTCGAGGAAGCCCTGCAAGTATTCGAATGTGGGACGCTCCTCGGGGTCTTTTTTCCAGCAGTGGATCATGAGCTCGTGCAAGGAGATGGGACAGTCCTGAGGGCATGGCATCCTGTAACCACGCTCCACCTGCTCCAGAACTTCACGGTTATTCATGCCTGCGGAGGAACAGACAAATCCACGCTGTTAAGGTACAGGAAACTAACCCCAGTGCAGATGGAGAACTATATGTACAATGCAGAGAGCTTTCTCTAGCRTACTTGCTTCTTTTGGTTAAGACAAGCAAAACAAAACCACATCAAATTCTTAGTTCAKCTCTCTGCCTACTGCAAGATAACCTGGCTTAATTTTCTTTCTCAGCAGTGGGTTTTAAAAAAACAGAGACGAGTAAAATGTTGCTCTTAYGGTTAGTTACCCTTCTAGCTTAGTCACAGTGATCAGGCCCTATTACCTAGGGCCCGTCCCCAACCCACCAAAAGCATCTGTGGGATATATTATGTGAGCAGGTTAAAGAAAAGTAAGTGCCTTACAACAAACACCAGTCAAAAYTGTTAAAACGAAGGTAAACTTTGAAGAAGTTGACTCTGCATGGGCCTTTTTTGGGTGACTCCTGAGGTCCTGCTGCCCAGACTCCACAACAAACTCTGCTGCTTCAGACTACCAGGTATGTGTGTCCATCAGCGTTACACTTAATGTCCCCTCAGAAGCCTCATCCTTCTGGTGAGCTGAGCTCCCTGGATCTTGAAACATTTTTCTCCTTAATTTAATTACAGGCCATCTCAACCTCTTGTTAGCTCCTCTTCCAGATATTCCTTCGGCTTTTGCACGCTCTCRAGGGTAGGACACGCAGAACTGCTCCACAGTAAGGCGCCCTTCAGGCACGCAGAGCTGCTCCAGGGAAAGCACGGGCGCTGCCTGCAAGCTCTGCAAGCTGCTTTCTCGCACGCACAGCCCCACTCCACTGCTGCGGAAACATGTGCAGACTTCCCTGCCCCAGCTTAGTGCAATCTGTCGTGTGGCTCTGCAGAGGAACTGGGGCAACGCKGTTTTCTTCCACAACCAGGGCTTGAAAGCAGCACCCTGGTGCTGCTCTTCTCACTTGCTTATCTTCCCTTGSGATTCCGTGACTCCATCCTTCCCAGGGTCTCCTCTACCCTGTTCCTCCAGCAAGTCCTCTGGAAAATCCTTCCCTGACCCACTGTCAGGCCTCAGAGAATCTCTTCCTCTCTTCTCTCCGCCTCATATTTTTGGGTAATCTTATTTGTGAGAAATTCAACCACCATATTCAATACAGACTATTTTAGCTACTCCACACCTTGACCACTGTGAATAACTGTCTGGCAGTTAGACTGGTAGTTTGGGTGTAACCTTGTGTTTGGACTTTGCCCCGAGTCCTCATGCCTTGGCTATGTTTAACTCTTCAAGGTGCTTTGAAAGAAGCACCTGCAAGACACCGTCTTTCTCGTCCCTCTGCATCATCTCCTGCTACGGTTACGGAGCTCTTCCTGGTCCCAACACAAACTCCTCCTGCTGAAATGCAGTCACCACCACGTCTCTGTGAGGATCACCTTCCTCGCCATCCCTCCCGTGTGCTTGCTTCTCGCTCCCCCGTGCCTGCTGTGTGCAACACAAGCTGCTCCTCTTCGGTTTCACAGCCCCTCACAAGCCGCCCTGCTCGCCCTTGGTCACGTCCTGCTGGGGTCACAGCTCCTGCCTGCCACCAACCCCGGCTCGTCCAGCAGCCCCGTGCGCTGCTCCTTGCGCCGGCTGCTGAGCACGGGGGCAGCTGCCCCAGCTACTGCCTCATCCTCCGTTGATCCTCTCCTGCCGCCCCCTTTTGCAGCGAAAATTTCATAAATAAAGGTTTGTTTCCTCATTTACAGCATAAACCTAACCAACATATTCCACTTTCCCTTTTTAAATTGTAAAAGTCATATGGTCTGTGAGGCGTCGTCACCCCAACCCTTGGGTATCACCCCAACCCTTCTAGTTTTGCTGCTTTTAGGATGCTACAAGAAAATATGGGCATTTTGTCAATATCATAATTCTTTTTTTTTTTTAAATGTGTTTTTTGAACAGCAGGCCATGCTACTTTGCCTTATTCATACCTCCAAATCAGCTGAATTAGCTCCAGTTTTGGAGTAAAAACTTTTGTGCTTTCCCTTCCTTACATAGTGAAGCCTGTCAAAGTGAGTGTTAAAATAACTTGTATATTGTATATATCTAAATCACACACACTCCAGTGTGAGCAAACTGCAGTCCTTGTTTTCATTTTGGCAGCAGCACTTTAAGTACAACAGGGCCTGCAAGTAACAGCAGCAGAAAAGCTCCTTGATATCAAATGTTTGGTATTTTTATCCAGTGCATTACTCAGTGCTGCAAAGCATACTCTGAACTTTGATAACGAACTACATGCTGGAAGAAAAACCTGGAGGAGATAAGGGGGGAAGGAAAAGGCAAACAGATCTTCACTTCCTTTTTCTTTTACAAAGGTAGCAAAGAGAACATGAAAGAGATGGAGTTGACTGAAGACAGCGATTTCTGCCTCTGGAAAATCAGTGAAGGTAAAGGTAGGTTTTGCAGTATTATCCCTCTTTTTCATTCTCCTCTTCCTTTCTCTGAATAAATCCCACATGAGAAACTAAACCAAGTGACCTTCACATTCTTTATTGGAATCCATTTTTCCACCTAAGGTGTCAGAAGCCAGGATTCTCCAAAAATATTCTGTTAGTTTTAAGATGTGTTACTAGCTGAAAAAAGAGAATTTTGAATACATTTTTTTCCCCAAAATTTTACCTGGATTACTAGTCAGACTTATTAAACAGCAGTATTTTAGGGATACCACCTTTTACTTGTTACAGGACCCATTTATGTTTACAAACCTATTATCTAGATTCACTTATCTTATCCTACACATTTCAGTGTTTCTCTTTTGATAGCAGGAGCCTGTTGTGTCTGCACTTCTAACACCACAGAGAGAATATTTGAGCAGTTAGTGCAACTCTCCTCTCCTAATGAATTCCCCAGAGTTTCAAGTCTTTTAGTAAATAATAAATGAAATTCTGATTCCAGTATACTTCTAGACCTCTTAAAAGTTTACTTTATGAAACCTTAAGTCCATGGGATTAACTACTCAGCAAGGTTCTCCAGCAGAACGCAGCTATTTCACCTGCTTGAAAACCTGTTTGTGTTCAGGATGTTTCTGGAACTGGCCTTTGGACCAGAAAGAAAATACACAATTTCCAAAAGGCAGCTTTTCTATTAGCTCCTCATTCTCCAAGCACAGCAAGAACTAATACTAAACTGCCCACACAGGCTGGGGACAGAAATACAATACTGCTTGGTTTATTTGTTTTTTTCCTAGAAAAGCTTCAATAGTAAGAAGAGATGTAAGCTTATATTTTATATAAATTACTTCAGGCAACCCAAACCCAGTGATGGTTTTAAGCCGCTTTAGTCTGTTTTCCTTCTTCTGGACTGAGAATTACGTTTCAGGATCCACCACATGCTCTCAGTYCAATGACCAACCTACGCAGAGACAAACACTTAAAACAGGCCCCTTGCAACCGCAGTGTGTCTGTTGTGTTTCAGATGCTAAAGGTTCTCCAGGGACCCAAGCTTGGGCCTCTGCTCCTGTTCCAAGGTTCCTCAGACATATCTGCAGCGGGCAGCCTGCACCTATCTAATGCAGCCGAGAAGGTAAGCCTGGCTCTCCAGAGTGGCTAGGTCACGTTGACATTGACAGCTTGTCCTCAAAGGGAGAGGTGCAACAGAGCCCGTGGGCTGATTTGTGAGTTTTGGTTAGTTTGATACAGAAACAGAATTCCTAGTATGTGTGGGCAACCTGAAAGAAAAGCCAGACACAAGGGGGGAGAGATGGGATATGTGGCTCAGACAAGGCCATGATTCCACACACAGAAACAACAGTTCCTATAATAGGGAATGGGAAAGGTACTCTGAAATGCATAAAAACTTCGGGTCATAATGCTGATTGCTGCAGCAAATAAGAAGAACTTGATTATTCCTATGGAAAAGCAGTAATAAGTCATATCATTTCACTTAATAATCACAGAATGGCTGAGGTTGGCAGGGACCTCTAGAGATCATCCAGTCCAACCCCCTGCTCCAGCAGGGACACCCAGAGCACAGGGCACAGGGCGGCATCCAGGCAGGTTTGAAGACCTCCAGAAAAGACTCCACAGCCTCCTTGGGCAGCCTGTGCCAGGGCTAATCAAGAGTTAAAATCTCTCAAGAACACTCCCAACACCAGGTCACCAAAATCTGCCTTTTTCAACTAAAAAAAAAAAAGCTGTATCACCTGACAAGCGCAAGGGAAGCAGCTCTGGGCCGCGGCCTCTCTGAGYGGCAGTTCCTGCCTGGCACGGGGCGCAGCGGCGCTGGGAGCAGGCGGCGCCGCTCGGCTCCGCGGGGCCCGCGCGGGCGCTGGAGCCCGGGTGCGACACCCGGCCCCGTGGGCCTGGCAGTGCCGTGTGTGGCACCGCGGGGCTCTCACGCTGGGGCTGCTGCTGTAAACAGCCTCCATGTGACAGGTGCAGCAGGGTGCTGCACGGCTTAAGGAAGCGCAGGTTTGTGTCTGTCCAAAAGGCAGCGTGTTGAAAACAACGAGCTGGGCTACTGCCAGAGAAATGAAGGCTCCTACTCTTAAACACCAGTTAAAAAAATACTAAGCCCCAAGAGGCATTTGTGAAAAGAAACTGAAAAAGGTTGACTATGCAGATTATTTTTTAAACTTGGCTCCTCTTCTGCCCATATCCGGGTTTTGTTTCCCCAGTATGACTGTGAACCTCAACACCCCAAAGACTGTGAAAGTTGCTTATTTCAATCAACCGTCCTGTGAGAAGAGAGGAAAGCATGAGGGAATGCTAGGGGAAGCATTAATAAACGAGTGAGCAGTGCAGTGCATGAACCGGCTCTTCCAGCAGGCTGCCAGCTCCCTGTTGGTTTCAGCCCTTCCTGAGCTGCAGATCCCCTCGCCAGGGGCGGCGCCGACGATCGGCCGCTCTCAGCCCTGCTTGCCGTGGTGGCCACTCGGGAGCAGGGCAGGGTCCTGCCCCTTGGCAGGGTCCTGCCCCTTCCTCCCTCCTCACACACAACGTGGTGCAAGGGCAGGGAAGGCCCTTCCCCTGTGGTCGTGCCTGAGCCCCTCTCCTTGCTGCAGACAGCGACCAGGGTTCATGGAGCTTTATCCTTCCAGGATCCTTCCCTCTGCAGTGTGAAGCAGGACATGGACGGTCCTTTCTAGGTCAGGCAGACACTGTGTCCTCTCTGAGGGACTCRGGAGGGAGGGCTGAGCCCACTGCCATGCGATCCCACACGCACACCCAGGCTTTGGAGAAGGCCACAATTCCCCAGCTGCCCTGTTATCTCAGAATATAAAGGCCTTCTTGGTCAGCACCTGGGAAATGAGACCTAGTTTAAATCCCTAAGGACTAATACAAAGTTAAATCAGAGATGGGAGTCACAGCAGGGAGGAAGAGTCCTGCTGCAGAGCTGTGGAGCCAAGGGAGTATGAGGCCATCCAGTAAACTGCTCCCTCTTGTCATACCTAGTCAATAAAAAGTTGTTTCTAGTCCTTGATCTCTTCCTAACATGAGTAGGGGAGAAGGAGCCAGAAAGGCTGCCGGCATGTGGGGGCTTTGTGGAGTAAGGGCTGAAGGGGGAGGACGGCGCTGAAGGAGGAGAGACGCCACCAGTTGTCTTTGATGTGCTCAAGCCGCCACGTAATAAAACTGTCTGTGTTTTCAGGACGCAGAGCATGCCTGAGATTTCTGTCATGGATCCTACAAGACATTAAATGCTACAAGCGCTCAGATACACATGTCCTGTCCTCATTCCCCTACAGGGAAGGAAAACAACCCTTGGGAAATGCAGACCTCCTCCATTGCCCTGGCCAGCACCGCGTTCACTTACTAGCCAGGGAGTTAATGAAGGGCTTAGACATTGCCCACGTTAGTGTTTCTTGTGGGTGTATGCACGTGTGCACGTGGCAAGAGAGAAAGAAGGGTAGCAGTAGCTCTCCTCACAAGTGCAGAGCTCAGCAAAACCAAGCAGAAAAGACGCAGAACAAGCACGCTGACAACACGCGTCCTGGCTGGCGAGAGTCCCTGATCACCCCCCGCCTCTGCTAGCGCTGACCCAGAAAAGCCTCTTCCTGAATCGTGGTCAAGCTCTTTGCTCACCCTGTGGAAATAACATTATCAGCCAAATTTTACACGTCTTCACGGTTTCTTTAGCCTCTGCACACGGTGCCTGGCTGCACTGAACTCTCAGGGAGTTTGTGGATGACTCTGACCCTCCCCTGCCCCACGAGGATCCCTCCTGGCTGGAAGCCCTTGGAGCTGCTGCTGCGATGACCTGTGCTCTGCGGTGGCAGGACCCTCCCTCCTTTAACAACGTGCAGAAGTGCTGGGCAGAGGGACCCATCCCTCCTGCACACACAGTCATGCTGTCCTCCCTTCTGCTCCCTCTTTCTGCTGTCACAGCCACGGCTTTGCTAAGCTGCCGTCTGCTAAGGCTGCCAGGATTCACTGCTGATCACTAGCAGCCTTCCAGACCCTGTGTTCTCTCTCCACACATCAGCTTCCAGCTGCTAGGGTATAGAAGAGTCAAAATTTCTGAGCAAAAATTGCTGTGAGTTTAATTTTGTTGATCTCAGTGTTCTAAAGGGACAGGAGACGCAGGAGGATGAACCGCCCAGCACTGGGATCGGCCGGGAGGCTTCTCTGCTCACGGTGGTGCATGGATCCGGCTGCGTGGCTGCGGCACAAGCAGGCAAGCTGAAACGGCGCTTTCCACTAAATCTGTGCACACAAACAAAGTTTGCTGGGGAGTACYTGGAGAAATTCCCAAGCAAAGATGTCACTAGATGCCCCGTACTATCTGTGGCGATAAGTAGATGAAGGTCCATATCATGCAGGACTTTCACCTCACCCTTTCACTCTTCACCTGAATGCCTGCAACCTTCAGGGGGCATCAGAATGAAAAGCTCTTTCTGCATAGGCAGATCCAAGCACCCGTGCTACAAATCTTAATCCCTTGGATACTTGGCAGGGTTTCAACAAAGAGTCACGGGGCCTCCAGCTTCCCCATGCAGAGAATATGGCCCCTCTGTGACCCTGCCTTGAGCTCTGGCCTGCGTGTTACGGAATTCCTTTCTTTCCTTCCCGTCCACATCTAAAACCAAGACTGAAATTTAAGGGTTTACAAGAAAAGAAATTTGGAAACACCAGACATTGAGGCAGGCACCAAACCTTGTACAGAACCAGACTGACAGAAGAAATGGGATAATGTCACCCTAGGAGTCTGATAGTTGGTATCTTAAAGTGAGTGCAATACTATGGAGAGCTATTTGCGCCATAATACAGTATTTTACATGTTCTTCTTTCTTCTTTTTTCCTTTTTTTTTTTTTTTGTTGAAGAAAGTTATACTATTTGAATTTAGATGAATTAAAAGTGAATCAGGAATGCACACGTYGTATTTTCCGCTTCGCGACATTTTCAACACGACTATCACACACTGGCTGAATGAGGACCATTTTTAAGCATATGCAAAACTTATGCATGATAATCATGAAGCCAGATTTATGCRTATGACTCATTCCCATTCCCTTCCCCAGGTAAAGCACGGTTCAAACTAGTGACTCTTTCCTTACCTGGGTATGGCACTCTCCCTTTTGTTACCAGCTCTGTCAGGAGGATCCCAAAAGACCACACGTCTGACTTGATTGTGAACCTTCCATACAGCGCAGCTTCTGGTGCTGTCCATTTAATGGGAAACTTTGCACCTAATGAAAGAATAAATGAGTTTTAATCAAAACAGGGACAGAATCAAAGTAGCAGTTCACAGGTGACTGTTCTGCTCTGCAGCACTTGTGGGCTGACACAGCTACAGACATGTATGCACATACAAATCCCTGGAATACAACCATGGAGGATGGGACAGGTGGAATGTGTAGGGCAGGGGGAAAGACTTGGCAGGAAAAAAGGGGATTTGTCCCAGATCCCAAGGAACTGGTAAGAAACTCTAACTCAGTCTTGAGGTTTTATGTTAGAAAGAAGTCGTAAAAAACAGCARCCCCAAAATAATATAGCTCCTCCTCCCACCATGTGTTTTCAATTAACATTTCCCTGGGATATTTGTGACTTAAAAAGCATTAGCAGGTRTGAATAAAACTGAGATACATTAGAAGTGCACCTCCCTTCTGTGATTCTGTGATTCTCCCAGTTTCCCTGCTCAGGATGAGCAAAATGCAGAACAAACAAACCTGGCAAAAACGCAAATTAAAAACAAACCTAATATTTCACTAGAAACATGCAGGAACTTAAAATTAATGCTGCCCAGCGAGTTGCTTCGAGTGCAATGATGTCAAGGCATAACTTTGGCCTTGGTGATTTATAACTTGACAGGGTACTTCGAGCTCCTGGCACTGCAAAGCCCACAGTGCCTTAACTACGTGYGGTTCTTCTGCGCTCATCCATCATCAGAGCCTGCAGGAGCCAGTTGTGGTAAGGATGGTACGATAACAAGCCTTTAAACACTGATTTATTGGCCCTTCCAATCATTTATTGTTTTCTTAGGGTAAATATTTTTCAGTAGAACTTTAAAGAAAACTCTTGTGGTAATAATTAACTCATAGCATGTATGAAAAAAAAATATGCTGACATTTCCCTGGTGCCTTGTATTAGCATACAAGCAAAAGAGCTGCTTTGCCTATTACTGATCCCTAGGGACAAACATGCTCCAATTTTGAAACATAACTGGCTTTGACTTCTCAACACCCTCTCGTACGCGTTCCCGTGGCTTTCAGGGGRAGTGTGGAAATTGTAACGTGGACAAATGGCTCCCAGAGAGTTAAGTTATGGCACTGGTAACGGTTCCCTGCTGGTGCTGCTCTGCCATCGCGCTCGGTGCCTCGTGACTTCGCCTCTGCGCTGCCGTCTCGTGCTAAATCTCATGCCCTCACTCAGTGAAGTGTCAGGTGGGCTAAACGCTTTTCAACTCTAAATATAAGTCATCCTAAGACAGACTGCTACACAGAAAGAAATACGTATTTTCTGGTGAAAGTTGCAGTTGCTCAAATGGGTCCTACTAAAATTAAAGGACAGGGGATAATGTTCCAAAGCCCCCAAACTTGCAGTTAGGAACCTCGGTCTGGTCATGCCTCAGCATATCATTGGTGAGATTTGCAAAGATGCTGAAGAACTGTGGATGTCTCTGCACTTTCAGCCTGTTCTCTACTCACATTAGCTCATATGAAGGCAGGAGCTGAAATGCAGGTGGCACTCAGCTTTGCCCCAATCATCTCCCTTACCAAAGCTCCTTGTTCATGAGGCCAGTCTTGGTTCATAGCACTCAGAGTTGGCAGAGCTTCCTCTTCTCTCAACCCCACCTCTGCTGTGATGCCCTAGAGCTCTGCAGCTGCCTGCCCCGGCAAGGGTCCTGGCCTGGAGCTTTGCCCACCCCTGGCAGCACCAGCAGCCACAGGGCTTTGGCAGCTCCCTCAGCCCCTGCAAGGCAACAAGCCCCATGCCCATCCCTGGAAGAAGTGCAAGCTGTACAGTTCCGTGGGTCACGTTGCCAAGGCCTGTGGTTCATGGCAGGCATGTGATCAATATGAGGACGAATGTCCCTCTGTTCTCCCTCACGTGCAGCTGAGATACAGCACACTAATAYCCCGCCGGCCGGAGGAGGTGCTCCTGGCTGGCCATCAGCCTGAAGCCCTGGCTGGTGCTGTGCGAGAGGCCAAGTGTAAGGGTCTGTGTGTTCATTTACTGCGCATGTTTTATCCAGGTTTTTCAATCAATCATCAGCTGTGTTTCCCTGAGAAGCTGAATCAATGCTGGTTTAATTCCCTTGGGCTTCATAATCAGATCCAAAGGTAACAGTCCCCTAGAGCTCGTGTTTGGAGGACAGAAATCTCTTCAATCTCCTTTGTGACCAGCTCCCCTTCCAATTTTATCTTTTTCACCAGTGTGGCAGCAGGCAATGAATATGTGCCGTGCTGAGGGACCACGGGAAGCTGGGAAGCAAGGCAACTAGGCGAGAAGGGGGGGAATTCCAGCACACCCCTTTTCTTGAGTGCTAGAGCAGCACTGACCCCCTGGGACATGAATGAGTGCAGCTGGAAAAGACAAGCAGCCTGTGCCGTGCAGTTTCTGATGGCAGCATGACTACTGACTGCCCTTCTTCATTGCCTCTGCTTCAGAGGATTCTCTGTGTAGAACAAGCCATACCWCAGGCACGTGCTCCTTTTTGCAGTGTTTCCTGAATGTCTGCTTGTGGGCAGAGGAAGGGGAAGCAGAGCTGGGCAGGCAGGCGGGGGGCAGAGCTCGGCATGAAGGAGCTCAGGGCCCGCGGAGCCCCTGGATGTCCAGGAGAGCTAATGCCCCCCCACACAGCAGAGCCATCGCTCGAGCAGAGGCTCGTGGGGATGCACCAAGCTGCCCGGCTGCAGGTACATGCAAGCGTGTCCATCACTGAGAGATGGCCCGTGGCTCACTTGAGGATGAGCAGTCCGGCTGGGCAGCACCTCCTGAGCACCCTCGGAGGCTGCGTGTGCTTCCAGAGGAGCTCACGTGGGCGGCAGCAGCACCGCGACAGCGCGGGTGGGCGCCTGCCTGCAGCACTTCCTCACAGCAACACCCCCTCCGAGGAGACCCCATCCAAGGTGCTGCCTCCCACCTAACGTCCCCCGCTGGGGACACAGGTCCTGCGCTTCTGCAAAGACATAAACCTGCAAAGACATAAACTCTGGAGCACCACTGCAAAGCCCTGACTGCTTCTGGGGTGCAAGGCACTCGCAGAGGCCACGTGCTGCTCCATCGCTCAGCCTGCCTCCTGAGCGGCACCGTCTCTGCCTTCGCGCATTCCCAGGCACGGATTCAAAACACACCTCCCCCCACCAGCCGCTTATGAAACTAGCTGAATTCGTGCTGAAAACAAACTGCAGCATCAGATCATCAGATAAAATGTGCATTGCCGGCAAGCATGTTAATAAATCTGATAAGCCAAATTACCCCACCTGACAAGGCAGTCGATGTCCTACTTTCAAGGCATATTTTAAATCAGCATGGGGAGATTTCTCTCCTCTCTTTTCTGCTGGAAAGGCTGAACCCATTTTATTACAAACCAGCAGGTCGGTAACTCGATGCCTATAAACCCATCACGCTCTAAATGCAGTAGGTCAGGATGGCCTGACTGCCCCAGAGTGAGCTCTTAATCTACAGCTTTTATCCCTGCACCCCTTTTCAAAGACGCTTCAGCGTGGGAAGAGCCTTCTTTGGGTTTCTGYGCTGCCTGGACCCATCACACAATAAGCCAAAGCTTTTCAGATGATTTATTRCTTGGGCCGCAGACCTACCTCTGAGGATTTAAGTCGGACTTAGCCCTGGGATCTCTGCCCTGCCCTGCCCAGCCATTCACACGGGTTATCTCCCAGGAGGATTGCTCTGGGAAAATCACTCCATGCCCCCRAGTGCTTTAATTCCTCCTGGCCTCCAACCAGGCTGCGTGATGCAGAAGAGCCAAGGGGCTGGGATGAGTGAGTGCCCTTGACGTACAACTCAGCGTGGGTACTTCGCATGCGAGGGAAAATCCCTCTGAGCTTTGTTTTTCAAGCCTGAGTCTCTACCAAGCAGTAGCCTCTGGAATCTGTGCCCCAGAGGTGCAGCTGGTTTCCTAATGATGCCGTTTCAGGAAACGCTGTGAAACTGCTACCACTTGCACCTCGAAACCAATCGCAGCTGAATGCCCCGCAGTCCTAAGAGCCACGAACCAGGGGAGCTCTCAGGCCTCAGCGCCGAATTGCTGGGGCTGGGAAAGTCACGGAAGGGAGCGACTGAACGCGGAGGGAGGCTGGTAGCAGGAAACGAGTCAGCAGCAGTGGGCGACGCCGGCGCTGCGCGGGAGGGACCGCGCAGCAGTACTTGTGTGTGCCGGGAGAGCCAGCAGCGATCGCAACCTGCCGAACACCCTGCATGGGGTTGCAGCAGGCYGGGCTGGCTGCTGCTGCCACCCCACGTCGCCGTGGCGGGCAGGTTGGGACGTAGCCCCTCGCCCTGCGCGAAGCAGAGGGCTCCGCCATGGAGCRTCGCGTGATCCGGCGCCCAAAGGCCTGCTCCTCAGGAGCGAGAGCGGCTACGGCTGCAGCGCCGGCCGGCGCCGGTGGGACAGCTCTGAGCAGCTGCTCGGTGACGGCCGAGTCCCTACGAAAGGGCTGGCAACAGCAGGAGAAAAAGAAAAGCCCCACTCATTTCTAGGGGGAAAAAAAAAAAAGAAGCCTGACTTAGTGTTAGCAGGGCAGGAAGGAGATAATTTGAACTGTTAAGGAGGCAAAAATGATCTGAGAGTTTACAAACATGTACCAGCGCTCCCGAAATAGCTCTGACTTGTCTGGAAGGCATCAGGAGGCTCCCTGTTGTTTCATGTGTGCTGGAGCGACGCTGCTGCCAGCGCTGCCAGTGTTTGCAGGAGAAACGTGGCCTGGAAAATAACTCTGCTCCTTTTTTTGTAAACGCAATTTTAAATTCCTATCAGCTGCTACTGCTTAGAATAGCGGCAGCTCTCCCGCGGCAGCTCGCGGAGCGCTCGGCAAGGCGCCACGTGCGTGGCCGGAGCGCAGGGAATTCTCCTGTCGGAGGTGACGGGGGCTGCTCTGTGGGCTCGTGTGGAGGAGCGGCGGACACGAGCAGCCCACAGAGCCAAGGAGGCCGGAGCAACACCCGACTCCGTGCGAGGGCAAAGGATGATGCAAGAGCCACTGCCAGAAGAGCCGAGCGGCGCGGCGCAGGCGGCAACAGAGCCCGCCACTGTGGCCTTTAAATGGGTGACATTTTTGTAAGCCTGTTTTTCCCCTTTATTACTCACTTCCCCTAAAACTAGAGGAGCCAAATGCTCCTTATGAGCCAAGAACTACTTATTATTATTATTATTTAATGGCAGTATATAGCTGTTAGCCACACACTTTAAATCATTAGTGGTGTGACCATCTCTTTCCTTCCTGACAATTGCTGAGAAACAGCAGTGCCGACAAGGAGCCACCTTTTATTTACTTCTCATAAATCAGGAGCAGCCAGAGCTCCTTTGTTCCAACCAAAAAAGAAAATAAACCGGTCGGTGAAACGTTACCACGGGGCTGAGTAATACCCGTGCAGGTTCAGGAATCCTGCACTCTAACCCACCGGGGCTCAAAGCATCCCCATCTGTTTCCTCTCAAAATATTTCAGCGGAGACAAAAGTGACAGTGGGGGAAGGGAGCAGGAGATGGAGCAACGGGGAGAACCTCCGCTGCTCCGAGCCCTATATTGACCCGCTGCTGCCGTGACTGGGAGGCTTTACTCCCCACAGCTCCCCACACATCCCCACATCTCCCATTTCCTCCCCACATGTCCCCGCAGCTCGTGTGGCCCAGCATCTCCGCGCTCGCCGAGGAGCTGCGGGTTGGCAGCACTCTCTGCCCCCTTCCCCCTGCTCGCCGGGCTCTGTTCCCTGTCGGAATTCCCAGCGTGGCTCTCGGCGGCCAGGCAAACAGCGCGCTCCCCAGATGCATCCCCTCGGAGGCTGCACTTACAGGTCATGGGAAACGAGCGGAGGCGCCCGCTTCCTTCTGACACTGCGGGCCCCACCAAGCGCGCTCAGAAGTGAGGCAAAGCACAACAGGATTGAATTCCACTTAAAGAGAGATTCCACTGGAATAATATTGGGGCTGTTTTGCTTCCTTGGTAAGTTAAAGGCACTAAAACAGGGTRTCCAGCTGGAAGCCAGGTTAAGAGGAATGAAATGTAAACAGATTATGCTTATTTTTTGGTTAACAACAACCAAACAAGCAACATATTAAGACAGAGTGAAAAAAGAAACAGTAAATCAGACAGAAAATCTTTCTACAAAGCCCATCCATCAGTCCATGGACAGAAGGATGCCACCCTCTAGAGGCACCCGTTRCAACTCTTGGGGCCCTGGCTTGAGGGCAGCCTCGGGTCCTGAAGCCCGGCCTCAGTAAGGAAGCGTTTCACCCTTCCCTCTGCAATACAGGAAAGAAGGGCACGTCTCCAAACTCGCACAGTGAGATCAACCCAGTGGAAAGAGGATTCGGGTCTCTTACTGCCAGCCATGGAGGTTCAAGACCAAACCATTCCTCCTTCCCCAACCAGACTCTTTTTTTTTTTTCCATAGTAAAAGCAATTTCCACACTGGAAGAAGGGCAAGGGATAGCAACATCTATGGTCCCTCTCCCCTGCCAGTCCCTACATTCCACATTTTTGCAGCTCAAGATTTTCTCATCCAAAACCCGGTAATTTTTATTGTCTTATAAAACCRAACTTCCCCACAACATCAACCACGGCGGGTTTCAAGCATTTCTGATATGTAAAGAGGGCAAAACAATTCTGAGAGACTTTACCCAGGAAGCAAACAGGACATTAAAGGATTCCTTAGGGATTCTGAGCTTGAAGAGATCTAGCCAGGAGTAGGTTACCTACCTGTCTTCTAAAACAAATTGTCATGTCAAACAGTGCACTCAACATTTCCAAAGGGAATAAAAAACACGGCAGTAAACAGACAAAAATGGAGGTAACATCGAACTCTATTTCAAAGCCATTTCACAGACCAGATCTGAGTAAAACTCCTCTTGTTTTACAAAAAAGAAGGCAAAAGTAAGCGGCTTTCTGCCTACAGAGCTTGCAGACACGGTTACTGCTCTAGAGAGCAAGGACACCAGATCGTTCCTGCAAGCAAGGGACAATTCCCACCCTCAGGCTCCAATCAATATGGGTTAACTCTGGCCATTAGGGTCTATCGGAGGCTCCTAAGGGCCCTCGCCACATAACAGGGTGATGGTGATCGCAGTGGGTGATGGTCCATGGGGACACAGCCTGTGCTCCACCTCCTTGTCCCCAGGCACTGCTGGGAGCAACTAGGAGCCCTGCAAACAGCAGCGGAGCTTCTGCTCGCAGGGAAATGTCAGGCATTCTGGAAACCCTCTGGCTCCTTCTGTCAACACTTAAAGAAAGAAGGGAGCTGTCTCCTAAGAATTAATGACAAAATCCATGCTAAAAAAAAGGGAATTTTGGTTAAGAGAAAAAAAATGTAATAGGAAGAAGTAAATGTGGGATAAGGAGTACTTAAGTGACCTCACCTTCTGATGACATACAACATGTTTTAATAAGGCACTCGCTGGCTTTGGAACCGAAAAGGGACGGAGTGGTTTTTACCGACACATATTGAGCAAGCGCTACCAATGTACTGCCAACAGAGAACAAAACTGCAGCTTTGCAAACTTGGATCAACATCTGACAACTAAGCATGACTTGTAAAGAAYGACTAGCTACAAAGAGCTTGTGTCATGGCTCAATGTGAACAAACACATGCTTTTAAAAACAGTTCTAATACTCTTTGATATTTTTATAGCGTATCAGTGGTTGGTTGTGCCCAGCAGTCTGTGTGGCACTGGCAAATAGTTTTGCTATTACAGTAACTTTTTAAGTTCCCAAAGAAAATACTGTTCTCAGAGAGAACATCTCCAAGGCATAAAGGCAAAAGCCTTGAACAGATTGTTTTGACCAATTTGAGAAAATAGAGTAGCACAGCAGTTTAGTAAATATTAGAAGACCCACTAACGAATAAATAGCTTATAGTGGCAAAGACATTTTTGGATTCCCTGTTCAGGTTTTGAAGGTGGTAAGTATGTTGTTACAGCACTATAAGGCATTAAGTGAGTTWGTCTCACTTAACCCACCTGGGCTCACAGTCTTCACATTTCCTTCAAAATCTGACCAAAATGAAACAAAGACTATAACCAAATAAAGCCATTTCTTTAGGATGACCATTGACCAGTGAACTGCCAGGCTAGCAGTTAAACAGGAGTCCAGGATTTGCTGAACTCCAAAGCATATGAGAGAAAGAAAGATTTTTTCAAAACATTTTCCCATTCTTCCTCATAAGAAAATAATGCCTGCTCCATGTGTGCAGCAACACCTACCTTGTCTTGCTGTGTATTCGTTGTCTTCAATCAGCCTTGCTAACCCAAAATCAGCAATCTTGCATATGAGGCCATTCCCCACCAGAATGTTTGCAGATCGCAGATCTCTGTGTATGTAATTCATTCGCTCAATGTAAGCCATTCCTGCAGCCACCTGTTAGAAGCATAAAGCACAACCAGGGAATTTTAAAACAAACTTGTACTTAATTGGCTATGAAACACATAAACCTAAATGCTCAACGCTCTGAAAACAGACCTGGGCTGCCATGTCCACTAAGTTCGGTAACTTCAAGGCTCTTCCTTCTCCATCTTTTAAGAAATCTAGCAAACTTCCTGTTGAAGCAAAGTTGAAACAATAGAGAAATGTTAGGTTAATAATGATTATTTATCAGAAAGGAGATGTAGTATTAAAGGCAGAAATGTTTTGAGTTCAAGTGAGTAACCTTGAAAAAAGAGCAAGATTTTCAAATTCTCCTATTCTACGTTGTCTCACTTTGCTTTAATGTTGGCCTGCAGAAGATTATGTCACRAACCCAAAGAAAGTTCCAGGGAAAAGACACAAAATTGCTTTTCATTTTTCTGACTACTACTAAGAAAGCTGATCTTTCTGAATTTGTTCTATGTGTGCCAGTGCTCTTTTAATGTGCATAGAGCTGYTCTCTAAAGGTATCAGCCAGCTAAGAAGCAGCATCACGGTTCCAAGCCACACGAGTTATGGAAAGAGTCAGGTCCCAACTCAGCCTACTCCAAAGGAAAGGTCAGTGTGGAGCCCAGTAAGCCCAAAGGGGTAACACTAGTAAAAACTCATTTTCCTTAGGAGGTATTATTTCCTTAGKAGCTATTAAAAATGGTAGCTATTTTTCTTCAGGTAACATGTAACTAATCATAGTGTGAGGCATCAGATATAGAAGCCTGCTGTGAGGAGTACCATGTGGAGCCCAGACAAAGGTGGTTTTAGCAAAAGCAGTATGCACCAAGCTTCCCTGTCTACAGGAAAGCAAGGAGGGTCCCTGCAGCTTTTTAAAAAAGCTCAGGGTACTCGTAGCTTCCTTCCCAAACTTGTACTCTGTGTGTATTTAAACAGAGAAGTGGAGCAGTCTCCTTTAAATAAGGTCAGTCAAATGGTTTAATAAATACGGGGAAGAGACAGATCATTAGGCATTTTTTCCCTTGATAAATCCTCAGCTTCAAGCTCAGAAGCAGAGATGCAAAATGGTACAGTAAAAACTGGTAAGCTGAGCCAAAATAAACCATGTATTTCAGACAGATTTTGAGAAATATTTTTTTTAAGGGGAAAAAGCACATGCTTGACACTGAGACATATGATTAAAATGCGAGTTAGTCAGGGCTTGGATGCCTCTGAGGAGGGAGGTGGGCAGGCACCTGCCAGGAAAATAAAAATCAACTCCAAATAGACTGAAAAAATGCGCTCAACATTTCAGAGTGTATCCTCCAATGTACAATGAAACTATCCTGTGAGAACTTATGTTTCCTATTTGGTTCATTTGCTTTTCCAAGATAAGCAGATTTTTTTTTTTCTCTACTCTCAGCACCCCTGCTGGAGATCTGATGGAGCTAAAAGTTTTCCTTTCCACACTTCACTATGTGGTAACCAGTTATGTAGCCTGAAGAAAAAAAGAAGGGAGAAGAAGGAGAAGAGAAGGCAAAGCGAAGCAAGGGGAAAGAGAAAAGAATCATGTGTGCAAATAATTTCCTAAAATGCTAAACAGCATAGACTTAAAATTCAGCTGTGATGTGAGAGTGAGCTGTAGGCTTTAGAACTCAGACTTTCTACTGAAAGTAAAATCTTAGGCTGAGAAGTAAATATTGAAAGAAGATACCAGTACCAGTGCAAGTTAGGATCTCAGGAAGCATTATAATACATGATGCAAACCTAGCAAATGCCAATCTCCAGTGGCAAGGGAAATTTAGGTGCTGATAAAATTGGAAATACTTGAACTGTAGCAAATTCTCCCTTCCCCTACCTGGCACAAATTTTCTGCTACATGTACATTTAGGGATTTTAATTTGGGGGCCCGGTTAAAAACTGAATTCAAAAGTCTTCTGAAGCAAGAAGTGAATTTAGTTTCTCTCTCTCTGTTCTTGCACACACTCTTCATGCAGCACACTGCACCCCCCTCTGTACCCACAAACAACTTCCACAAAAAATGCACAGTGCTCTCAAGGGTGGCAGCTCTGGCTTCACCTTTGCTCATGTACTCTGTGACAATATAGATGGGTTCTTCGGACACCACAGCATAAAGCTGGACCAGTTTGTCGTGTTTTAGCTTCTTCATGATTTGGGCTTCTTCTAAGAATGATTCTGGAGACATCGTGCCAGGCTTCAGAGTCTTGATGGCCACTTTAGTATTTCCATTCCACGTACCTACAAGCACAGATATTTAGTTAGTTAAATGTCTTCCACTCTTTTACTTACCACCACCTAATGTAACCAAAAAGTTAACTGACAAAGACACTTACTACTACATTTGTTTTAAAAAGCGGTTTCACATTTTGCCTTTGCATTTATACTTTTCCCACCTTTTTCTCATAATTTAGGCTTTTTCTTATTTTACTGAAAAATAAATACTCCCATTGGCCCTAGGGGTCAATCTCCCCTGCCTTACTCAGACAACACACCCACTGACATGCATGGAAACCTTTTTGGAATAAGAAGCAACGCAGGACTGAATTTCCATTTTGATGTATTCCCCTGGTGACTAGGAAATGACTACTGACAGCAACACAGCTCCAGCCACAGATTGGGCTAACAGATGTGGCTGAACCCAGGACTCCCAGTTTGCASGGCATTTTAACATTTTTTGCCCTGAATCAGAGCAAAAAACACTCTACAAAAAATTCCCCAAAAAACAAATTCTGAATCCATTTCATTTTAGAAACACTGGCATGTTTCCACAATGAAACGTGCCTTTTTCCCTCCCTCCCTCCCAGAAGCCCAGCAGCTGCCAATTGAAAATTAGGCGACTCTTATCCGCTTTGTCACCTACTTGTGGTCAGCAAGGACACGAGCAAGTGGCCCCACGGCTTGGCTAGGATTTACTGGGCTTCCTTGAAGCACCTGCCCTGGACCCAGGCAGGTTGCACGGGGACCCCGAGGGAGCTGCGCAAGCCTGAGCCAGGGCTTCCCATGGGCGGTGCTGCCTCCCTTGGGTGTTTGCAAGGGGCAGGAAGAGGACAGGAAAAGAAGAAATAATCACCTACCTACAGGTTTTTCAGGAAAGGGGTGGGTGGGAAAGAAAACAACATGAAAACGGGTGGAAGTGTCAGTACCTGAGTGCTTTGCAGGACTGCTGAAGCAGATTTGAATGAGACCCCTGAACTACCAGAAGTCAGCAGGGAGGCCTGAACCCATGAACCTTGGCAGCACAGGCTCCCCTGCAGCTTGCCCAGCGGGTGGGCAGCAAACCCCAAACCCCATGAAAACATCTCCAACTGGTGTGTCCTCATAGAGCATCTCGGGGCTGGTGACGTGCAGAACTAYGGCTGCTCACAACAAATCTTGCCTGTTTTACTGATAAGTTCACAGGCACAGTCCTATAGCAATAGGGGCCCAGTGCAATAGAAGTGAAGGCAATTGCTTCTACGTCTATTTTTTTAAAAAAAAGTTATCTTAAATATAACTAAGGAATCGTTTTTAATGCAGAAACAAGCAGTCTGCACTCTCTCCATTGCCTAAGAGTAGTGACTGTGAAAGTATGTCTGTGGAATTCTTTTAACTTGGATCTCAAGGATTTCCTATAGAAGGTGACCTATTTATAGGGAACTGCTATTTAATAAGGCAAGAGAACAGTCCTGAACGACTTCAGGAATTAATTGCAACGGGTGAAATTCACTCCTCTGCACATGAGCATGAGAGGTGCAGAAGGCCTACAAAGTACATGAAGATTCAGCCTTTAATCTGATTTCTTTAACAGAAGAGGTCAGTGAAGGAGACAGATGACATTTAAAATAAGCCTATTGGGAACTTCTGAAGGGCACAGCAACAGCCAGGTACCACTGCTCGGCTGCTGTGCAGCAACTGGCTCAGCCAAAACAACTGGATGAGCTTTCTGCAACGTGCCAGGGCACAAGCACATTGGGCTGCTGTTGTGCAAGGGGTCAATTCCCAGCTGCCATCTTCGTAGTTAAGGACAGAGCAGAAGTGGCTGGAAGCCACCGCGCAAGTTGTCTTTCACCTCCAGGACAACTCGTGCAGCGACACCCTGTTGTTTAAGGATGGTCTGAAATATGTATCAGCTAAAATGCTCTGTACAATTTTGCTTTCCACTAAGCCCTGTCTTTCTTCTGCCACCTCAGGGCCAGGTGCTGTCCTTAGTCCACCCAGTCCCAGAGCCGAAACAACCAYGGGGTACCGTCAGGCACGGTCACTTTGCAGAATTACCATGAATTATCTAAACCTGGAATGAAACCCTAGGCCCACAGACATCAGGGCTGTTGTCACTGACATTAATAAACTAAGATTTTACCTGGTGTGTTAAGCAGATTGTGTAYTATCAATTTGCTTGGCTATAATCTATAATCAAAAAATCGTAGGACTCATTCTATTACCATGAAATATTTTTGGTATTCTGTTTTCTACATTCTATTTTATTTTATTTTGGTATTCTATTTCTATTTTCTCTGATTTAAAAATGAAAATCAAGTGTAAAGGTTATTTCACCTTCTCACCCAAATTGCAGGGTAAGTTGTAAAATTGTCTTGTTTTGCATTAACATTTTTATCTGTCATGGAGAAACTAGTTAACCTTCATCAGTAGAGACCTCCTTCCGAATTYCCCCTGTTGATACTTGAGTTATTACTTGATGCCTTTTTTATTCATTTTTAATGTATTACCTATTCTAATCTGGTAATGTTTCATGACTGTTAAAATATTCTGCTACATGTTACTTTAGGAAAATGATGCAACAACTGTAATAATAACTAACATATTCTTGAAAGATACTTGTTACTTTATTTTTTACAGTTGAGGTTTTTTGAATTGCATTTGCTAATTTGGCTTGCTGTAATAGTTTAAAGTCCGTGGTGCTCAAAAGTGACCACTAAGAATTAACATCAGCTCGAGTCTCTCACACAGAGTCAAGATGGAGGAACAAGAAGGTGAAATTTCAGTCATCTTGGGGTGCTGGCAGGGAGGACAGGCAGTTTTCTTTGCAACGGGCCAGCTGCAACCTAGGAACTCGACAGACTTGCTGGCACGCGCCTTGCTGAAGCCCTGCAACAGAAAACAGCTGCGAGAGCCCTGGGCAGCCCACTGCTTATTTTGGTTTTACATTCTTATGTGTCACTGCAGACCAACTAGTTCCACCAAATGACCATCAAGTGGTGAAAATACATATATTGTTTCTTCCTTCTTTTTTACATCAGTCATATTAAGGAGGCTATACAGAATGCAGTTTGGTGTGACACTGTATATACCTCTCATTAAATGGCCAGTACATTGTATTTCAATGCTAAGACTATGTTAAGATTTATAGATCTTTTAACTGCTATTGTTTTATAGYCATTTAAAGAAGGCTTATGTAGAAGGGAGTAGTAGGAAAATGAGGCAAGTGTGTAAAAAACAATGTCAGTGGATTTGGAAAATGGCAGTATTCCTGGACTTCAAAGAGTGGTTTCAGCTGGGCTGGGCAAGTCTTGACTCTATTGTCCCTGGTGTCTATATCAAGTTACAGGGTTTTKCCACATACACAGCTTTCAAAATGGAATTTCTGAAGTGGATGCATGGGAAAGGCAGCCTGACACTATTAGCTTCCTGATATTTGCCATCATTTTTCAAACTGGGGAGGAGACGGGAGCGTTTTCAGGGTCTGATCTCATCAATCCTAAAACATGTATGGAAAGAAAAATGTCTGCCTGGCATTAATTTGTGGTTAGCCACTCCGTTTTGAGATCAGTATCACTCCACTTTTAATATTTAGCTATTGTGTAGTCTCCTAAAYACCACTGCAATTAGTGAAGTTTCAAGGCCTGGCCCCTCATCCCTGTGAGTGCAAATGAAAGAAAGTTGCCCCACAAACTACCGTATTTCGGTCTGACCGCACTAGGGGATATAGACTAACATTTCAAGCTATTCTAATCTTCTAGCTTTCAGATTTGTATTTCAGGTTTCTATTTCTGTCAAGAGGGCCTTAAAAGATCTATCCAAAACAAAATATATTCTCTGCCTTACCACGCCACACTTCAGCGAAACAGCCCTGACCAAGCTTCTGCTCCAGAAATAATGAATCACGTGCAACTTCCCATGCATCTTTAGCCAATCCAACAGTTTGTGGGGTATTATTCGTAGCAATCACAGTTAAGTTAAAACACAAACCATCAGCTTTCTCTATAGGAGAGGAAATTAATAAAAAAAACACACTTATAATCCAAAACAATGCATGCATTGACAAAGATGGAAGGTGAATTGTCTTTCAGTGTCATGTTAATGTTCACTGGCAAACACTGATTTTTGGATACTGAAGGGAGGAACTTTTTTGCTACCTTAGAGGAAAAGGCTCCTTGATATAATCAACAGACTACCATGTGAGCCTTGATATATTATTAAGACTGTAGTAATTTGTCCAAATCGAAACCTTCCAAAGGAACATGAAATTTTAGTTGTCCTTTGCCATCAATTCTTATGAAAGCTGAAGATGAAAGAATTTCAGAGACATGATTCCCAAGGCATTTTTCCTAATAATTTGAGCTTTGCACCTTTTCTCTTTTTTTTGTGGGAAGGGATCAGAGTGTCCTACACCTTCACCTTCCATCTTGTAATCCCCACACAGAGAGCTATTTTAGAATAATTATTTTGCTCCATACCCATCCATACTTCCCCAAACTGCCCATTTCCCAGTCTCTTGATCAACTGTAGGGATTCTCGTGGAATTTCCCAGACATCTTTGGTTTTGACAGACAGATCAGTAAGCCTTGGCATTCCTTTATGACAGGGGACTACTAAGCGGCAGCAAAGACCGGCAGCTCTCTCTGATGGAGCCAGAAGTGAAGCCAACAGCAAAGAAGAGGAAAGAAAAAAAAGGGTGACATGAAACAAAAACAGTAAGCATAAAAACAATGCTACTCACAACAGCTGTTAGTTGCATACCACAAAGCATCCTGGAAGATTAGAAATTGAACACTGAAACATATTCTTTTGAGACAGAACAGGAAATATTTTAGTTTCTGCTTCCACAGCCTTAAACTGAAGGTGACCGTCAATGGTTTCTCAGGTGGACTCAGGATCTTCCTTCTCCCATTGTGCTGCTTTAAGGCAACTTCCTAGGTAAGGGGTATGGTACAGTACAGTACAACTTCTCAAAAATGATCAGTAATCCACAAACTGGAGTGCTTCTAAACTGAGTCAAAGTGCTACAGCAAAGACTTTGTTTTTCTGAAAATCACAACAACAAAAATCTGGCAGACCTTTTTTTTTTTGCACATTTTTTCTATGTATTCTATGAGACACTTTTTCTCATGTTCCACACAGTGCAACTTCTTTTTTTTTTTTTTTTTTTTTTTTTTTTAAGCCTATACAGCCAGTCATTGACCATTAAGCGCAGGTTCATTCTACCTATCTCTTCTAAAGCTTCACAGAAGACTGAACTGTGACCGAAGTCACAAGATATTCCAGCAGAAATAAAACCAGCCCTAGGTATCTATTGCTGTAGAGTAACCGTGCTGCCCATGGCAGACTGGATCATAAAGCTTGCAGAGCAATTTGTACTTTAAAACGGGTGCAGCAGGGCAGGACAAAGAGGAGAACTGCTATTGCATTTGAGACTCAAATATAATTTTCATTCTCCTATGTAAGATTTCCTTCTGGACAGTTGAAAAGTTTGTTTCAGCATCGCGAGGCAGGAAAGCATCCAAGTTCTTGCAACACCAGGCTCCAGCTCAGCACAAATGTCACAGGATGGTGGGAAAGTCCCTGCAGATACCCTGACATGGACCTTGTTGTGTCTTCTGTAGCAACGTGGTCACGAAACTGGGATGAAGAAATGACTAGCTAGCATGTCTGACTGCAGATACCTCCAGTGGGAATATTAGGATGGGGACTCGAAACACAGGCAATATCTAGAAAGTCTGGATAGTTGCAGAATGGAAACAGGAGTTTTTTAGATCTCCCTGTGTCCTTTAACTGAAACAGCAATTTGGCCTGCCACTGCTCCAGAACGACCAGACTGCAGAAAGCAGCAGCAATACTTTATCTTCAAATTCTTTCTCCTGCTGGAGAGTGGGTGAATAGTGCTGGAATTGCCAATGTGCTGCTCCTGGACTTCAGTGTGATGTCAACACGCTCTTGGGATCTCAGTACTTTTGGTCTGGGAATGTTATCCATGAAAGTCTGGAGTCAGCTAGGGCTGCGCATGGAATGAGGGCTGCTTTGAAGCCCTGCATGTGAAACCTCTGGGCTTAGTCTGGTCCACGTTCTCCTGAGCTAACCCGGACCCTGCTGCGCACACCCCTGTGTTGCAAAGAACTGGCTGCTTCCAGGCCTGCTTTGTCTCTGCAACTGTAGAAGGCAAATGCATGGCCCAAATAATTTGACCACAGATTGATACATATTGTAAGTTGAAATGTACCAAAAAATGGTATAGTGGAGATGAAAATTAACATCTTTAGATGTGAGTTTCCATACATCATTTAGCTTTGTTTAATGTAGAGTCACCAGAAACAACTAGGAATTCTCCCAAGACAGCATGCACCCACCAGAAACTGGGCAGAGAAGACAGCCAGGTGTCTAGTAGGAGCAGCGTAAGAGCACAGCGGACAGAATACAGAAAGAATACAGAAAAAAAACATTCCACAAAGCAGTTGATTTCCCAAGCAAAACTGGTGAAAAGTTTTTGAGCAGCGAGCATTTGGGGTCCCCTGTTAATACGATGAAAAGCTATAGCAAAGACAAAGTAATAAAGAATAATAATTAAAAGAAAAATCCATACTTCTGTTTTACAAACAAGCTGTTGAGAAGTATGACAGTCTTCTGTGTAAGAACCAGTAAACACGTGCAGAGATTCTSGGGACTTTCAAGCCCTACGTTATTGTATACCAATTTCCAGTGAAGCAGGATGCACTTTTGGTTAAATTGTGTGCACCAATTTTTAATCACAGGAATTTAAAAAAAAATAGAGGTGGTCATGAGTGGGAGAAATGCAATATATATAAAGAAATGCCCACTTCATCGTATTTATTTCTAAAATGAGACTGTTAGTAATTTAAATGCTAATATTCTGCACATTGAACATAAATTCAATATGAAAACTTGAGTCAAGTAATATATGGAAACATTTTTGCTGTGCCTTAAGTGACTGAAAGCTACAATGTAATTCTGTAAGTGCTTTATTAGCAACACTATGCTGCAAAAGGGTACACATTAGCACTCCCTTATGTGCAGGGAATTAATTCCTGCTTTCAGATGTGCAAGTCAAATTCAATAGTTCTGTGTTCTTAGAAAAGATAGAGCAGGCAAAACCTTCACCTGCATGGACTGCTACCTACAAAAAGCTCTGCTGCTGTACACTATAAATTGCACTTACTGCCATTTATAATCATAATGGGAAAGTGATAATGCATTACAGCAAGCCAGAGCCATAGCTCAAATGGCTCTGCACGACCTCTTATACACAGGAGAGCACAGAAGCAAACACTTTTGTTTTAAAGTTCTCAAGAGTGCCAGGTATTTTTCTGAGAAGTTACCTGAATAATGCTGAACCAGCTGCTGAAGAGTTTCAAACTGTGCCCGAGTTGTGATATAATAACCACCATTGTCAAGTTTACGAATTTTATAATGTTTGACATGATCTCCTTTCATATCATCCCAGTCACGAATGGAGAGGGAATAGGCACCTGTTTCAAGACAAAGAGGAATAAAAAGTCATAAGCACCGTTAAGACAGTCAGAATTTGTGGTTTGCCAGACATCTATTATAAAAGAGAAATTGCTTTAAAAAAATGCCTATTCTACATCAAGAAATAGCAAGTGAATCCAACATAATAAGTGTCACAGAAATGTGAGCGTCACAGAAATCATGTCATACTTTTCTAGAAAGGAATCAGGACTTTTGGGTAAATGAAAACTCACATCTTAACATTTACTGCTTTGGGTCATTAAATTTACTTTTCCCTCTCTAGGTGTCAGGTTATCTTGCAAATTCTGTACTTTAGGTAAATGCCAGTAGGTGGTAAATGTCAAGGTATTCACAGGAGTCACTGGAGATAATGACTTCATATCTGTGTAGTATTGTCACCCAGATGGACCCCAAGCTGTTTTACAAGCATTAAACAACCAAATCAACCAACTTGGTGTGTCACAATCTTCGGAGGAGAAAGCCCTACTACACTGACTTTGTGCATCAGAAGATTTGCTAGAACTGCACATTTCCCTTTCGAAATCTACGGAGGAACTTTAGACATTACTGGTGGGATTGAGATGCTCAAATACAGAATTTAAATTCAGGTGAGATGCCTCAAGCGAGACATCCTGCCCAGCCTCTTCACAAGGGAGCAGCTTTCCCACAGGACCTAGATGTGTCTGATCCATGTGGAGCACTCAGACATTTCAACTGGCTCTGAATGCTCATGCTTAGGCAATGGAATCTCAGGTTAGGGCTGGATTTAGGTTTTAGGTAGGTGCACTATGGTCCTGGTGCAGATGACCAAACACAAGCTGCTGGTCCCACTAAAGCATCTTAATTGCAGCCTCATTTCCTTTGTCTGTAATGGTACTGTCCAAGTTGCTGGTGTGATTCAGGTCTGAACACCACCTGGTATAGTACCTGTGCAAAACCACATTTTACAGTTTTTTTTTTCCTTACGAAAAAACTGAAAAAGCTTGGTTGTTGTTTCAAAGGCCAGGGAAGACATCTTCACTCGTGCCTCCGAAGGATATCTTGTGTACTCAAAGGTAATGCAGACTTGAAAAGAAAAAAAAAAGCAACTGTAGAGATCTCAGGAAGGYCTCACTTTTGGAGAGAGGACTGCTTTCACTGACAAAAAAAATCAGCTACAAACAGGAAAGCAAAAACAACATCAGATCATTTTGGATTGCCTGTAAGGTGGGATAATTTCCTCCAAGYCTGATCGTGAAGAGCCCTGGCTGCTGCTTATCCACACTCCCTGTACTTTCCTTGACACACATCTTCCAGAAGCACCTCCATCTCAATAAAATGGCTTAAATGACTTTCATAGTTACACAGCTGAAATTCATGGTTGAGAAAAGCCATTCCTGGATTCTCCTCAACAAGAATTTCATGGAATTCTGAAATTTCTCTAACCATATCATACTGCAACAGATCACACTGGTCCACAGCTTGCCACTGAGCAGAGCTTCAGCAAACACAACTCCTCCACCCCTAAACTCCAAGGAGTTCTCAAATTCTCTGTTATTTATCCTTTAGGAAGAAAAGAGCCAGTACCTACACACATGACTATTTTATGTGAACAGGAGGTATCCCCAAAGAAGTGAAGGGTTTTTAAATTTTAAATGCAGAAAAAAAAAAACCTCCAGGTTATTTTTCTGAGGAGAGTCTCTGTCTGAATAAGAGAGGAGTTTTTTAGGGGGGATTTGCAGGCAAATCGTGTATATGCTTTGTACCAACACTGATGGCTGTACATGGTCATCCTGCTTCCAAAGTTTTCCAGGCAGAGCCCTCCAACTCTGCATTTGTGAGTTTTGATCCACTGAGAGCAGCTGTATTTTCTTTAGTCACATTCCCTGCCTATCGGATCAGTATTTTAGTTCCTATAGGAAAATGTAAACAATCTTTGGCTCCAGTTCTGCAATCAGATCTGTGTGGGTGGCCCTCTGTGGACCTCCACTGACCTTAGATCAAGTTGCAGGACTGGAGATTTAGTTCAAATCTGGACAAAAACAAGAACCAAGATTCATTGCATTGTTCATTTATTTAGACGTTCGTTATTTAGACTATTCATTATTATCTGCTGATAAATTGAAATACAGGGGCTACACCTAATATAAATCTGGATAGAAATACCAGAAGGCAGCACATCATATTAATGATTTTTTTTTTAAACAAACCCAAAACCAAACAKCATTGAAAGGTGCAGATTGAAACCAGGTGAAGGATTATACAGACAAGAGCTGATGAAGTACTTGGGTAGTCAGGCTTTGCAAAAATAAAAAGCCAGATCTGACTGATATATTTTGGAATTATGGTGAGAAGGCAAGCATGACCACGGGAGGTTAAACTCTGGCTGAAGTCATCTACTTTGATACATTTAAATAAGCTTGATTAATTTTATTAGTGTTATTATTTAAAGCAGAKTGAACAATTCTTGATCACAAAGCAATCCCTGCCTCAAGCCCAAGATGAATRGTTGGAGTAAAGCACTCCGAGACTTTCAGGAGAATGCACCATTCAGTTCTCTCAGTTCACTGTTTTCTCTCATGAACAAAGTTTCTCTATCTTTCTCTAACAAYATATTTTCCCAGAGACACCACAAGGATGAGAAAGTAAATGGGTGTTTTCAACAAAAAGTAAACTTTTTTTTTTCTAGGGGCTTAGGTGCTGACTGTTAGCCTGAAGGTGTAGAAAGTCTTAGGTTCAAGAGCAGAGAAATTAAGCTTGCTTTTATAAGCACATTCACAATGGATTACTCCATTTCCCCAATGCTTTTTGTTTCTCCACAGGAGCCCTAGGGAAAAAAAAACTTACTAAGCTAAGTTAATACTTCTGCAAAACGTCTCTCCTGTCATTGTCCAAAAAAAGAAATGTCAAAATAGACTAAACTGATAGCATGGTTTAGAGATAGTGTGATGTGGGTTTTTTAGCATACTGTGTTAGTGCCTKTTCAAACTCTGTACAGAGAGTGGAATGAAGTCCCACTCCTCATGTGTATCACCAGCTGGACACACCAAACAGGTGGAGGCTGTTTGCAAAAGAGAAGGCAAGTTAGAGCACCTCTTGACCCTGCTGAGAAACGCTTTGCTGCTAGCTAAGGTATGGAGAAGCTGCTGGATGGCAGGATGGGAAACTGACCATCTGAATCAACAGCACATTGATGATGACTCTTCTGAGACCTGAAATGTCCAGACATCTAACTGCTTGGCACCCTGCTAGCCTTGAACCGAGTATTTTACAACTTACCATGATTTTTCTCTTACAACTAATAATTAGTAGTCAGAATAGCTTTGGGCAACATACCTTTGGTAGTTTCACTTTCCCGGATAAGGAAGGTACCTCTTGGGTTTCCGAATGACAACAGCTGCCTCTCAGCATCCTTTCGGCCAAGTTTGCCAAAGTACCACCTGGGGGAAACAGCAGAAATAGTGAGAAAATGCTATATAGGATTACTTGCTAGGGTCACAGAGCTCAGACATGGTATATTATTTGTGGAAAATATGGTTACACAAGTATATTCAACCACCATGCTCATGCTGTAAACCTCTATTTGTTTTCGACTCTACATGTTTTACACTAGCAGTTGTATTAAGCCTGTAATCAGTGGATGTGGAAAATGCTCATTTGATGTCCTCATCAACCACAAARGTCAAATTTTATCAAACAGTGGGCAAGTCTTGGGGAAGAAGGAAGATACAAGGAAGAAGAGGAAAACCCCCTTGCTGCTTAAGAGCAGCATTTCCACAGATGTCATTCTAAACTACTGACTTGCTTTACATTGTGATTTATTGTATCCAACATTTTTCTTGCAGTACAGCTAGAAATTGAACTCAACACAAAGACCGGATGCAACCACTTTATTGTGATTCTGTATGGCTTTTCAGTGCCTTTTTCCTTCTTGCAGCAAGATGGAAATTCTAATTACATTTTTTCAGGGCTTTTTTTGGAGGGGAGCAGGAAGGTCCCATTCAACCAAGTTAGAGCCACTTCAGTCCTTACATCCCAGTTGTTGGAATAAAGTCCATGAACTATAGCAAAAGCAGCCTGCAGTACAGGCTGCAGTAGCTCTGGAGTAGAATCCATGGCATTGCACAGAGCTTATGCAGACAACATACAGATCCCCACCTTACAGCCATGCTTTGCAGTGCTGCCATACAGAACCTGCTCAGACATTTAAGCATCCTCATAGTAACTCTGATACTGGAAATCATATGGATACACACAGCCATAGCACTCCACTGTTCACTGCACATATGTCCTTACATGTACTTGCCCTATACTTTGTAGGCATCCTACCTTGTAAAGGTCATTTTTGTTACAAGATGCCCTGCATAGAGCACAGTTTGTACACTGATAAGACTCCAAATATTTYTACAAGCTGGTTCAGGAAAAGCAAGGGTACCATTTGCTTAAAGCTAGAAATAAACTAAAACCCAAATAAAATAAGCAGACTTGTGTCCTTTTAGGCTTTCTTCCTTTGTCTTGACATTGAAAAAGTGCTGAACTTGTGCTTCTATTACTAATTACCTAATTATTTACCAGTGCAGTTGAGAACTGAAATAAAAATGATGCCAGGTCGTTTGAAAAATCACTACAATCAATCAAAACAAACTCCTCAAATCTCCTTCAAGCACAGGACTAATGGGTCTTTACAAGAAAAAGAAAACATACTCCTCTGCTTGGATGGAATCGACTGGAGCCACATAATTGCTGGGAATATAACCAGTTTCGCCTGTCGTCAAGGACCGGGCCTCCCACCAGTCTCCTTCCCTGCAGAAACAGAGATGAGGAAAAGTGAAGCAGAGCTGTAAGGACGATGACACGACTGCTCCTGGGTGTTGTGAGTATTCACAGAAGCTCACAGCAGCTCACCTCTTCATCATGGACATATTTCTGAGAACTGTTTGCATCTAAATAAAAGCAGTGCATGTATTTCATTGCATCTGTTAGTAGTTCAGCAGTCATTAGTGTAATGTAGCCTTCCAAATGTAGCATAATGCCATAAGCAGGTGTAACTTCCCYTGAAATTACATCTGTTTTGACCTAAATTTGGACTAGAATATTGAACTTTTCCCCCACAACAATTACTCTAAYATAGACTTTTGAGAGAGCCTTTTTAAAAAGTGCCCAAATGCACAATCTCAAATCCAGTGCTACTTTTAACATGATACTCAAATTTCTGTGTGGATCTGAAACCTATGGACATCAAATAGGCAATAGTTTTAGACAGCCTTTAAGGGTCACACTTCACTGTCCTGGCCACCTGCAGGAGATACATTAAGAGGTAAATGACTTAAATGATYCATTTCAAATAAGTATGAAAACCATTCTTTTACCACATTTATAGAGAAATCCATAGGAACTCCAGTGTTCCACAGGCTCAGCATCAATTTCTGTCTTACACGTGTGTGCAGTGTGATATGGTATTACTATGCAGCCAGTGCATATTGCTATAGAATATACAGCTTTAAAAACAAGTTTATTGCTCAGCTTTTTACAGAATATAATGATGTGGGATTTAGTAGTTTGTATTTGGGTCTCAGAACTGTATTCATTGACATTTAACTCCTACTTTCACTAACTTTTCTATCTGTACTGCCTAGAAATTCATTTTCCCTCTCTGTAAAATAGAAATTTGTTTACTAAGTGTGGTCAGAAGGTTCAGCATCTCCAATATGAAAGCAGTTATTGAAGACACATTATCTTATAAGACATTTTAAACAGGCAGAAAAGCTTGTGTGAAGGGAGCACTTAATAAAATTTCTAACACCACTTTTTTTTCAAGAGTTTGAAAGAATATGAACTCTGAAGTAAAGAAAAGAGCTGTTTTCAATTCTGCAGCTCAGAAGAGGAAGAATGCCTAGCTTTTCTAGATGCTGGGAGACAACAGTATCTTAATAGACACTGTGTGTACTGGTATCCCAAGAGAAATGTGCCACAGGGTGCGTAAGGGTTTATGATCCTAACTTTAGGCAGGGCTAACATTTCCCCTGTATGTAGCTGTAGAGCAATTATGCCACAGGACAAATATTTCATTTGCTTTATGGCTGTTATTAGCAGCTGCCAGCATTGTGCTGCTCACCAGCTCCTACTTCCACCTGCTTATTGCACAGACACTCCACTAGATGGAGATATTTTATCATAACTAGGGAGGGGGAAAAAAGTGCTGTAGCTCATAACATCCTGAGCGTAAATCTCTCTGCCATATCGGAAGGGGAACGAAGATTTTTTTCCACAACATTTTATTACAGGCGTAGGTTAGGAGAGGGTTGGTCAGTGGAGCTAGATGCACTTGCTGCTGGTGGGGATGGGGGATGTTTCAGAGCACCTCAATGAGATGTTGCTCTGAATCACCACCTGCAGACACCTTTTCCTAGTCTTCACTTGAGATATATCATTCCTGACTTCAAACCACAGGGATATCCTCTGTAAGCCATTTTGGCTACTACCAATCTGAGCTTTTTACCCAAAGCAGAAGCAAATTTCATTTCTTGAGAGTTAAAAAAAAAAAGTACCCTCAGTAAACTCCAGACAAACTGTTTTTATGCACCTGAATGCTTCTTCATTACGAGAAGCACTGACTATTAAAAAGGGAACTTCAATGTCCTTTCTGACAGAAGGGAAGAGATGAAGCTGCTCACAGAAAAGCTGCTTTTGTGCAATCCCAACCTGGCTGTCATTATTCCAGGAGTGTGGTTAGGTCTAGTGTTTCTAAGCAGACAGGATTTTGATGGGCACTGAGCTTCTATAACCCTACAGGAAAATCAGGCTGCTTGATTTTTTCTTCTCAGAAAGCTTTCCTCCCAGCAGTAACCACTTGCATCAAAATGCCTGCACTGCAAGCAGCCACAAATGGGGGGAATCTCTCTGTCCCATGGACTCCAAATACCCATTCTCCACAGGTCTGTATGAGCACCCTGCACTTGACCAACTGGAACAAGTAGGGAATTTGCAATGGGGGGAATTKGTACTTGTTTCAACTGAAGTTTGTGCAAGGTTAGGAAAGTGTTAGGCAACATGAAAAAAAAAAAAGAAAAAAGGGGATAATAGCTTTAAAAAACTGTCTTTTTTTCCCCCAAGTGCTAATTTATAAGTAGAGAGGTTTTAAACTGCTGCTCTCTTTACGAGTCTTAACTGAAGTTTTTGTACTTTCATCTACATCAAAGCTCTCTGGCTTCATGACTTCATGAAATATTCCACAGAATTACCTTTTTATTTTTTTCCCATTAATGTACACTGAGCCAACTGCAACCTTGGAGTTCTTCTATTAAAATTAACACGAGTTGCACCAGGGATGAATTTGCCTCATTGTCATATGGTATAAAAAATCAAGATTGGAAAAAATATCACAAAGCTACACTTCTACAAAGCTATATACTTGGTTGTTAACCCATTTTTATTTCTATATGATAGCAATACTGAACATAAAAGAGAGCCTTCAACTTTATATCATAGCAAGGAATTGCAAGATATTCTGATTTAGGTCAGTAGCACAGTAATATTTAGATGCTATTTTTAAATTGCTTAGTGTCTTTTTCTATGGGCAGTTGACAAAATTAGTTTTAAGTCAGTGATTGCCAGGATTAAAGTGTGGTTTTCATACAAAATACCACTGTACAATGGTGCATTTATACTTAACAGAACTTCCCATCACGTTCACACTGTATCACCTTTCTTTGAAAGAAAAAGACGTTAATGCTTTTAACCCCCCACTGACATGCGAGGCTGGGTCACATTTCTTCCYATGGATCAGATTCTCTCAGCTCGCTCCTGTGCAGAGATACTTGCAGAAGATCACAGAGACTGTTAGTACAAGCCCTGCTGAACTTACTGGTACTTACTGAACTTACTGGTTACTACTGGTAAAGTACAGAGCTGGGGCTCTCACTTCCAAATGGGAGTTCACCCCAAAATGTAAGCCGTGAGCCACACAATCTAGCATTTAGGTATTTTTGGAGGTGAAACTGCATTTTGGCTAATTTATACTGACAAATCAATCAGAAGAAAAAGACAAGTAAGCATGAAGACTAAAATATCTTGAATAGGCCACATCATATTTTCCAAATAATATAAAAAGATATATTTATGAACCTGGTAAGTTTAAAAATACTAAAAAGCATATTCCCAAGCTTAAAACTTACGAGCTGTTAAGTATTTGAAACTTTTCTCCTTTGTGAAAACTTAAGTCATCTTCTGTTCTTGCTTCATAGTCGTAAAGCGCCACAAAAAGAGTTACACCTGGAGAAGAACAAACATGGGTTACACTCCATCACAGAAAGCAGAAGCGAAAGGAACCTTGGGGATCAGGTGGCTAAGCTAAACTTAAGCCACGCCAGTGGCTGAGGAGCGAGCTGAAGGTTCTTAGTTTTTGGACAACCCCTCTATTCCCTGTGCTTTTAGGCAGACAGTGGGCACGTTACCCCCTTCATTTTCTACAATCATCAGCCCTTTTGCTTTGGTCCCCACACAGAAGAGAAGGATCTTAGGTGGGTAAAGGAGGTCTAATGTTCAGAGAAGAAGGAGTTTAGATACATCCACACCAAATGTTTCCCGTTAACTACTCTAGATGGTTCCCTGCTTCAGCCACATGCCTCTTCCATTCCCTGGTTGAGGGATGAGGCAGGAAGGCAGCCAAACTGGGCATGTCCCGAAGTGACTTAGCCTCTGTTGGCTAGCACTGTTTTAAAGAATGTGTTGACACAGTTGTGTCCCCTCAACCAGTCCCTGGTGTAATTCGGCTGATTAAGAGCACTGAAATAAGGCTTTGAAGCTCACCTGTTCCTCCTCTTGTTCGCAGTGTCCCTGTATGAGAGGAGGAATTGACTCCACCAAACACGGTCAATCCTTGGCCTCCTGTGGCATGGAAGTTGTTGTAGTTTGGAATTGAAGTCACGCCAAAGCTAGGATAATGCTGTGGAGTGGGATCTGTCCCATAGCGGTAGCCTGAGCTTTGAGTTAAACTGCCATCCCTCTCGTCAGTCAGTTTTGTTGCTTCTTTATCCTTACATTGCACACAGCCCATTATCTAAAATCCTGGAAGAGCAAGGAAAGGACAAGTGCTCATTCGTTTATGCGCAGCAGATCTCTCTAGCCCACATATGATGAGGATCAAACTAAGCTCAATGCTCAAAAAGGGAAAAAAAAAATCTCTGCTTTTGAAGATAAACAGCAACATGCTGGGAAAGCTCATGCAAAATTCTTGCCCACAGTGGTTTCCCACCAGGCAAGGGCCTGTGAGGAGCTCCTACCTGCTCTGACTGCAGCAGCAGCTGCCTGACCAGCCCTGCCAGAAAATTTCTTGCATGGAGGCAGCAAGAGGAGGAGACCTCTCTCACTCTCCCCTTGCCAGGAGAGCACAACTCACAGAGGAAGATCACGGCCAAAAAGCACAACTACAAGTATTCAAGGCTGGCTCTGAAACACATAGCAAGGCATTTAACTCACGCTCTCATTCTTGCCACTGCCAGCTACACAATAGCTGCCATTGATTTCATGTTAGGGTAGTACCTTGCTGGAGCCTTATGTGACAGACAGAGATGCAGATAGAGCTGAGCTGATAATTACCACTATAGAGGAAAGTAGGAGACAACAGACAGAGCACTTAAAAGAAAGTGCTGTTTTACACAATACTTAACTGAAGTATAAAACCTGTTGATACTGGAGGGTGGGATAGCCAAAAGGATAAATGAGTTAAGAAACTAGATAAAGCYGCAGAGGAATTAACATGTTAAATCCAAATAGCCTTAAGATCCAGATCCTTGATAACATGGAACTGAGAGAGCACATTCTGGAAACACCAGCTCTAAGATATATAACTTATATAATACCTTACAATATATATTTATAACCTCTTGTTAAGCATCCTCACTGGCCACTGGTCTGGATTAATCTCTTTTAATTCTARCTGCTTAAAAGCTAAGAACCTATATTCTCAAAAGTGTAGCAAGACAGAGGGTGCTTCATCACATGTCAAACAGAAGTCCTCAGAACTTCTGCTTTTATCTACTACAAATTTTCATTGATGAGCTCTAATACCTTAGCAGTTGCACATCGGTATTATCAAACTCTCTATGGCCTCTAGATGAAACTAGAAAAAATAAAGTTTCTGAAGTCAGAAATGTTATATTTCTCTGGATGGACCCTCTGGATGGACCCTCTATCTGATGCACTATGGTCAATCTTACATGTAACCTGGAACAGAAACAATATACTCCAGGCAGGGATTACAAGAAAGAAGGATGACAACAGAAAAATATTAAAAAAAAATCACTTTCTCAATCTCAGCCTTACATACTGTGTCCAGAATACATGAACAGGATGGAGAAAGTGAGACACACACACACACACAAAAAGTATAGCTTAGTACACAACTATTTTTTTTTCATATTTCTTTTCGCATTTCAGCAAATATCCTCCACTTAGAATAAATAAAAAGTACATCCGTTTGCAAACATCCTCATTTTTCTGAAGCTGCCAGACTGGCTATTTTGTATGCCTTGCCCCAGCATCAACACAGGAAATTGCTTTTGACAAACTCAGGGGATTCTGAAAAAGCATATTCCACTGCTGCTAATGCCTGGGAAATTATGCAGTAGCTGTTTGCCTGTGACAGCTCACAATACAGATACCTGCTTCTTACATCGAGCCTGCCTCATTATAAAACCCCTTCTGTTCAAGGGTATTTTCCACAATTTGAAGACAGTGCCAGCGTGTTCAGAAAAGCAGCAGCACTTGAATACGCGTTTGTGAGCCGCCCTGCTCGAGCGGCGCTGTCTGCAGTCAGCGCACGTTCCACCTCCTCCTCGCAGCGCAGCGCTGCCCGTATTCCCTTTATTTCCTCCGGGACAGTGTGTAGCCCCCTCGCAAAAACCTGGGGAATCTCTGGATGTGAGTTGAAAGGGATGAAGCAGAAACCAGGGCTCCCTACACCAAGTTTGCCAGGACAGGCAGCGCTCCTGTCCCTGCAGATTCCGAAGTGCAGGAAGGGATTTGGGAAAGGCTGCTTGCGGTGGCCAGCAGCCGGAGAGCACAAAGCGCTGGGGCTGCCGTGGGGGCCTGCAAGGCCCTTGAGGCCACCCGGACGGGTAGCCTTGTTGGGAGCCCCACAAGTCCTGCATGGGGTGGAGAAGTGTCCAGTTCAAATTGCGCTGCCCATTTTTGAAAAGCAGAGTGCTCTGGCCCTATAGAGCTTTTCGGCAGCAATTTAGCTTAAGGTTGGGTCTTCCCAGGCTCCTCCCGGAGCCAGGAGTCAGTTGGGCATCAGGAGGGAGCAAGGAGAAGCACCATGGTGGTCAACGCCAGGGCGATGCGGGGCYTTTTGCTGCAGCCGCCGCAGCGGGATCCGCTCCAGGCTGCGCCTCGAGCACGGCCATGGCACGGCGGGCAGGCTGGGCAGCAGCAGCACAGAGGTGCTGGCAGCCTGAATGAGACGACCGAGCCATCGGAGATGGAAGATTCGCAGTGGTCAGTGCTGGAGCGTGCACGCATGCGCGCGCTTCAAAATGGCTGGGCATAGGCAGGCCCTGGAATCGCGGCAGCCATTTTGTTGGCACGACATGGCGCCTCCCTCCCCTGCCCCAGCTCGGGTTCTTCTCTGAGTTTTTGCCCTGTGTTTTCACTAGAAAAAAAAAGAAAAAAAAAACAAACAAAGGAAAAGAAAGAAAGGGAAAACATGAAACTGAGAGCGGGGAGTGATGACGAAAGAGGTTTTCTTCTCATGGCTGCTGCTTTTGCAGACGTGAAGAAAAAGCATTATATATATGAGAATTATTTTTCATGGTGCTCTGCTGCTCATTCACAAACTTGGCTGTGTACGGAAGAAAATCTCCACTGGCATCTGGGAGGATTTCAGGTGTCTAGTTACAAGTGCTGACAAGCCAGCCCGACACACTTCATTTACACATTCAAGTAAGTAGATGAGGAAAAAGTTAGAACTACAGATCACCTGCCAAATAAAATCATTCAAAGTACTAATTCTGGGAAAGAAAAAAGAAACATGAGTAAACCAGGAGATGCATATTGGTAGTGCCAATAAAATAATGGTTGGGGGGTTCTTCTGCTGAAGGGATGATGTAAATTGAGAACCACTGAACTATCAACTTGGGATTTCTAGTTCGCTTTTTGCTCCCTTTATMTTTTTTCTGGCACTGGCAGTTTAGAGGGGAGGAGAGCTGGATGCGCAGTGAGTGACTGACAAAGACGGCTTTTTTCTTCCACTTTGCCGTTTTCCACTTTGTTACAGCGTCGAGACAACCCAAGGATAAAGACGGCTCGATTGGAGCCTCTTGCGAAATGTGACAGAGYGTGCTACACACACACATCCTTCCAAGCCAAGACCTTGCAAGTTGTCGTTTCCTGGCTCAAAGACACGAGCYAGGAAAGCCGAGGATTTTGCTAAATGTGGAAGAATACATGTGTGCATGTATAGGCTTGAGCTAACTTAGGGCATTYATGGACAATAAAAATAACCTCCATTCAGCATCACTCTTTATATCAATGAATAGATTCCAAAAACTGATCTCCTTCAGTATATCACAGAGCAGGCAGTTAATATCCTACAGTCTCACCACCCTGAATGTCAACGACTGCAGCTTTGGAAGGCTGGAGTTACTCAGGCAGCTCTGAGCTCACTAAACAAAATCTGGAACTATTTTACACTGAACTCTCTAGAGAGGAGCACACACTGTTGTTCATCCAACAGGCTGCGCAACTTACCGTAAAGGAACAAGATTTTATTAAGTTTCCATTAGGACTGGCAGTGTTTCTCAGATGTACAAGTTATGGGTCATGCAGCATTATCACAGTTTGTCACTAGTATTGCTAGAAAGTACATAAGTAGCTCAATTAAAATGAACTTTTCTAATGCAAACAAGTTGCATTTGTTTATTTTATAGATGTGCTTTTATGGGCAATGTAAAACATGTGTTTTCATGAAAATATAAAACATTTACATGGTTTGTAAGATTTCCTTAGAGATAAATGGGGGAAAAAAAGTGAGTTGTCTCGTTTCTTTCCTTTGTTATATTTTTTGGACTCTAACAAAGTACTTTGCAGGCAATCCAACAACAGACTGGCTAAAACAGTAGTTTACCCCACATGGTGGAAACAATATTGGATGAACATACAAAATTACCTATTACACTGCTAATTATTTATCTAACCACAGCACCTACAAAGATGTTATTAATGCTACATTAATCGCCTCCACTTTTTCTAGAGGGTGGTTGATTCTCAATACAAAACTTGCTGAAATGTCAGCAAACACGAGATATTCACTCCATTAACAGAAACAAAACAAGATTCCTAATAGACACCCAGAAAAATGAGGAGTCCTAATAAAAACTATTTTTCAATTTTTTATTTTAAAACGATATATGATATTTGAAAACAAAAGGCTATTGATAAGCCATGACCTTCTCCTGCTTCTGCAGCTATAAACAGAATCAACAGAATCACAGGATGGTTGAGATTGGAAGGGACCTCCAGAGATGATCTAGTCCAACCACTCCAGCAGGGACACCSAGAGCACGGGGCACAGGGCGGCATCCAGGYGGGTTTGGAAGATCTCCAGAGAAGGAGACTGCACAACATCCCATTGGGACCACTGGAAAAAACATTGGGAAAAGACAGACGGCAGGATAAACAGTGTAAATTTGCCCCTTGCATTAGCTGTTTCTACACAGAGCTTTACAGAGATTTTTCCAGATTTTGATTTTTGAGTGCTCCAGAAGAAAGTGGATGTCTTATGAGGGAGGGATACAGGAAGATTCAGGGAAATATCTGCTTATGTCTTCCTATCCATGCCATAGCATTTATCCTCCAACCCTTTGCCTACTGATGGACATTACTACAGAAGAGAACTTTCATCTGCAGAAGRGACATGCAGCAAGTTCACCTCCTGCAGGGGTGCATTCTTCCTCCTCTCTAAAGCCTTCTTTGGAATGAAATTCTGTATATTTTTAGAACTTCTTTCAGAGGAGGAGATGAAAGAGAAAGACTGGATGAATGGTAACTGTCAACTATCTTCTTCTGAC